ACAGGTAGTGTTGACGGTTGAACAGCATGATAATTATAATCATTGTCACCAACTTGTACATGTGAGTAATATTAAATTGGCAAATGTTTTGTTACACATATACTTACCACAATAAAGAAAAGAAATACTACTTCAAAAAAAAAAAAAAAATACAAGGGGTGAAAACATGCTTGTATGAAGGTATGAGTTCAGCTTAAAAAAAAAAAAAAATGCACAGCCATCAAGTCGGTTATGACTCACAGTGACCCTATAGGAGGAAGTAGAACTGCTCATGGGGTTTCCAAAGCTGTAAATTTTTATGGAAGCAGACTACCTCAGTTTTTCCCACAGAGCCACAACCTCTAGGTTAACAGCCAAATGCATTAACCATTACACCACCAGAGCTCCTTGAATCTAGCTTGGAGCATGTTAAGTTTGAGGTTGCCTAAGGCATTTGACTGCTAACCAAAAGGCTGATGGTTCAAACCCACCAGCCACTCCTCAGAAAGAAGTTGAGCAATCTACTTCTGTAGTGATACTGCCTTGGAAACCCAAGAAAGGGTCACTATGAGTCGGGTTCAACTTGAGGGCAAATAACAACAACAACAACAACAGGAGCTTCACGTTCCTCTGACCAATAGGTTATTGGATACGTAGGTCTGGGATTCAGGGGCAAGAGCTGGCCTGAGTAGATATATATGGGTAACCAGTGTCCAAAAATGCTGGAGCCATGGAGAGAGTTAGGTCATTCAGAGATGTAGAGTAAAGGAGAAAAGGGTCAAGAAGAGAGCCTAGAGAAGGAACCCATTACCCCTTGAAACAGGCCCCCTCAACAGTGTTTCTCTAACATGTCTGTATCGAGGCCCTGCTCTTGTTTGCGTTTGCACTGTTCGCCCATCCCACAGGGCCCTGAGGGACATATTCTCATTCTGTCCAGCCCTGAGACACTGCTGTCTGGCTACATCTCAACTGGAATGAAGCTCTGGAAGACCCTCCAGGGAGCAGTGGAGCAGATTTAACTGCATTCAAGCAACCCACGCCTACACTGGCCTGGCCTTACTGCTCTCAGCCTGTGTGAGTCCTGGTGAGTAACGAGTTAGTGCTTGGCCAGGCAGGGGGCTCAGGGTGGGCTCTTGACTGAATAATATAGCCACAGAAATGAGCACAGAGATATCAAAATGTTATCACCCCCTGTGACTTCGCTACCTTCTCTTCTATTCACACAGTAGTTTAAACTAGAAAAGTTTGTGTGGCACTGTGGGTCAGGGAGAGGGAATCCTTGCTGTCTCCCTCTCTCCCTCTCTGCATCCAATCTTGTCAGATCTACTTGCAAATTTTTCTGCTCCATGGTTCTTGGATGCTCACACTTCTTGGTTCTCTGACCCTATGATCCCATCTGGGAACCATAGAGGAACACGGACAACCAAATCTTCCTACCCCTGTGGCTGTCCATCACCAAGAGATCTGGGCAGTTCCTGCCTTCTTTGGAGCTCCCCATATTTCCCAGTGAGAGTTCCATCTCTAGATTATGACTATCTTCCTCGCCTGGGGTTCAGGGTTCCAACTTCATACCCTCCTCTCTTCCACCTCTGGGACAGCCTCAGAAGGTCCCTCGGAAGAAAATTGGGCATATGCCTGAGGGGGACAACTCTGCAGCCCGGGTGAACCAGAAAGGATGAATTAGAATGGTTGAACCAGAATGGCAAGGAGGGCAAGGGCAAAAAAAGAGGGGCCTGTGCATCTTGGGTAGACGGAGCGATATTAAGAAGGAACAGAGAAGTGGTTCTTTTCTGTTTTGTTTTGTTTTGTTTCGTTTCCATCCCCTATACCATGAGAAAATAGCTTGATTCCAGAAAAGGCAGAACAAATATGTCTGAGAGAATTAAAGCCCACATCCTACCATGGTAAGAGATTGTAAGAACGTGTCTGACAAGGCTAATCACATTCACATCTGTAGCTTAGACAAGCACCTACACTGGCTGAAAGAATCTGAAGACGAGTTCAGGATTGCCTTCCAGCAAATGCACGAGGAAACTTTGGAAAAGACAGGCAGTGTCAAAATGGGAGGAAAGAGGCCAGTGTCAACTAAAGATTGTTAAAGTTGATCCCTGTCAAGCATCAAGAATAGATCATTGAACAGATTTTGTGTGAGCACTGAAAAAAAGAAAAAGGTGATCTCTAAAGATATTCACACATCAGTTCTATATTTATAAGTTTGCTAAAACTTTTAACATACTTGAATTCAGCAAATCATTTGCCAGACTTGACTTTCCCTGGGATATATTTCTCTGATTCTTCTCCCAACCTACCAGGCAGACTCATACCTCTTTGTACAAAACTATTTTGTAGACCTCTTATACTTGTACTATTACATTGGAAGGGCAGCACTTCAAAGGGAGTACCATAAAAACAGCTTATTTTTTTCTGCCTAGTCTCCATTTAACCTGCTTTGTGGTGCACCTTGGGTAAAATCTTGTTAAGTTTCTATTAATGGTCCTTCTGAGGAGTGGCTGGTGGGTTTGAACTGCCAGCTTTCTGGTTAGCAGTCAAATGCTTTAGGCACTGTGCTACCAGAGCTCCTAAATAATATTGAAAAGTCCTTGGTTTACTTTTAGTTTCAAAAACATCCCCATATTGACCATTCAAATAGCCAATCCCATCTAATGATAAAAATGCCAAGCTTTAAAATTAAAGGTTGCCCACTATCACCCCCATTTGCACCTCCTTCGGACAGGATGCTCATGGTGGGAAGTAGAAACCTAGACAACTTTGCCCCAAATTCTTTTCCGTATATTTCTTTTTTCTCCCTACTTTTAGTCCATGATTTTTCACCTCACCAAGATCAGAAGAATGGAGAAAAGGTCAGGGGTAGAAATGGCCTCACTTGACCTGGCACTGATCTATCCTGGGTTTGGTGGCTATTTACAACTGATATTATTTTGGGACAGAGCTCTGGTAGCATAGTGCCTAAGGCACTTGACTGCTAACCAGAAGGCTGACGGTTCAAACCCACCAATTCCTCGGAAGGAAGGTTGGACGATCTACGTCTGTAGTGATACTGTCTCGAGAATCCAAGGAGGAGTCGCTATTAGTTGGGTCTGACTCAACGGCACATAACAACAACAACAACATTATTTTGGGATGCATTTCTTGAGCAATACACTTGTCTAGGAAACTGCTGGAAACTTCTCTTTTATTCCAGTCCCAGAGGAGTAGCGACCCTTGCCCCTCAGAGCTTATTATTGTTGGGATCTACACCCCTATCTCAGCAGACCACTCTCTTGGGGAGGACCTTCAAGACAGCTCCAGTCTGGTTACTCCCCATGGCCACCTCCTGGCCTGGAAGATGGAGCCAAGATTAAGACGTCAGTGAGGCATTTGCATCAGGTGCAAAATTTAAGAGGGTGCCAAAAAAACTCGGTAATCGAGATAAATAACATTTTAATGCAATATTTTTTAAAAATCAATGTAAAAAAAATCCATAATGAACAAAATTCCAAATTTTAAATAAAGTCAAGAGTCAGGCAGGGCCTGGATTAGGGTGAAGCAAGAGAAGCAGAGGTGTGCATATTATGGTCGGGCCGAATGATGGAAGAGCTGCTCCCACCATTCTCTCTCATTGGCCTTCCTTTGGGGACCACCAGAGCCTCTCACTTTTACCTCTAGCATGGTCAAAAACACTGGTCCCCAGCATTGTCCAAAATGCAAAGGACACATTTTAAGCTCATTGTTTTGGCTTCTTAAAGCTCCTGTCACTGGCCTGAGGGAAAGATGTTGCATTTCTTCAAGCACTCATGTTAAGAAGGAAAAATACAAGCTTTCTTCAAAAATATTCTCAGATTCTGCAACTGCCACCTTTTTAAACTCCGCAGGTGGGTGTTAGGCTAAGGGTCCAACAATAGTTTCCACCACCTTTTTCGTTGGTCTAGAACCTCATTTTCACAATGTGTGGGAAAGTTTTAGATTTTTTATTTCCTCCTGGCTTATTCAGTCCTCAGGTAAAGCTGAAACACTAAGAGAGTCATTTTAACATCCAATTACACACTATATTTTGACTGTTGCTTATCATTTCTAGCCCGCTCAGTAAAATACAGATTCATTCCAGGAAGGATGATGTTACTCATTGTTGTATTCCACATATGTAGCTTGTGGCCTGGCACAAAATAGATGCTCAGTAAAGGTATGAAGGAAGGAATAACGGAATGATATATGCCTTTATGAGTCTCTAGGTGACACAAAGTAACCAAAAGATTGGCAGTTCAAACCCACTCAGAGATGCCTTGGAAGTCAAGCTTGATAATCTGTTTCCAAAAGGTTGCACAGCCTTGAAAATCTGTTCTACTCTGCACACATGGGGTCATAAGTATCTTGACAGCAATTAACAACTACAAGAAAGTGACTTTGTAGAAACAAGGAAGAAAAATGAACAGATGGGGCTATAAATGATGTTATTTTTTGATGCACTTCCTTAAATTGTGAAAGATAATATTTCATTCTCTCTCTAGGTTTATATATTGAAGGCTCATGGAGGTCAAAGTACCCAATCCAGCCTGGTGAGGCTGGGGCTGGGGCGGCAGGCAAGGGCCAGGTTCAGACACCAGGCTTCTTGTTACCCTTATCTCCCTGGAGCCAACTTCTTCCCCAGGAAAGATGTCAAAGTGGAGCTACATAAGTTCCAACGTGTCGTATACTACCTTCTTCCTGGTGGGCTTTCCAGGACTGCAGGAGTCCCGTGTCCTCCTGGTGCTACCTTTCCTCAGCCTCTACCTGGTGATCATCTCTGCCAATGCTCTGATTATCCACACAGTGGCAGCCCAGCAGGGTCTGCATCAACCCATGACTTATTGCCCTGCTCCTAGCTGTCAACATCTGTACTGCCACCACAGTTGTGCCCACTATGCTATTCAGCTTCTCTGCCCATTTCAACTGCATCTCCCTGACCCACTGCCTGGTCCAGATGTTCTGCATCTACTTTTTCATTATCTTTGACTGCAATATCCTTCTGGTCATGTCTCTAGATTGCTACGTGGCCATCTGCTACCCACTCCACTACCCAGAGATAGTGACAGCCCAATTGCTGGCTGGCCTGGTGGGGGCGGCAGCTGCCTGGAGTATTTGCAGTGTGGCTCCAGTGGTGTTTCTGGCCTCCCGGGTTTGGTTCTGCCACTCAGACGTGATCCATCACTTTGCCTGTGAGCACATGGCTCTGATGAAGCTCTCTTGTGGGGACATCTCCTTGAACAGGACTGTGGGGCTCACTATACGCATCTTCAACAGAGTCTTGGACATGCTCCTCCTTGGTACCTCCTACTCCCGCATCATCCATGCTGCCTTCCGGATTTCATCAGCTGGAGCACGTTTCAAGGCCCTGAACACCTGTGGCTCCCACCTGCTGGTCATCTTCACTGTGTACTTTTTCACTGTGACCTCATCTATTGTCTATCGGGTGGCCCGTACTGCTTCTCAGGATGTGCACAACCTCCTTAGCGCCTTATACCTGCTTCTCCCATGTCTGATCAATCCCATCATCTATGGGGCCAGAACCAAGGAAATCAGGCAACACCTGGTGAGGTTGTTCCAGACGACAGGTGTCTGACAAGCCACTGTCCATCTACCTATCCCTATGTGATTTTCCAAGCATGAGAGGAGGGTAGAAAATGGAGACATAGGAATTTGCTTATCACACATGTCATATTCACTGTTCTAATTTCCTCTCGTACGCTTCCATGTCTTTTTTATTTTTCTGAAATAGGGAGAGGAAAGTACACAAGGGTCTCAGTTCTGCTCGTCTATCTAACATCCAAATATTTATTTTTTCATCTGTTATCTCTATTTATTGAGTAACACAATTACACTGCAAGAAACATAATTGGAATGTCATTTTCTTAGATGTCTCTCTTTAAAAAGCAGTTTTTAAAAATCATCACAAAGAAGGAAAATTATAGTTAGATGTAAGGAAATCCTAAAAAAAAAACTTACCTTTTAAAAAATTATGCAAAAAGAAAAAAAGGCCAATAATTTCTAAAATGCTCAACTGCATTTTTCACATTAAGTTTTTGCAAATGAAAGTGTCAACCCTTGCGAAAGTGAGAAAAAGTTTTTGACGGTGGTGACCTGTAAAATCTGCAATAAATTGCCTACTGAAATTATTAAATAAATCAGTGTGATCTTATTGGCTCTTATTTTATGTAAAGTTTCTCCAGAGAAAAGAACTGGTTGGAGAGCCACATGAAACACATGCTGAGTGATCATTTCACCGGGTTAAAATCTACCATAATAGCTCCTCAATAAATATTGGTCGAATACATGAATAAGCAGATGATAACTTGTTTGATTATGTGAACAAGGAGCCCTGGAGAAGAGAGGTCAGAGAGTTGAACTATACCATGAATATTATGAATTGAGTAATGTCTCCAAAAAAAGATATGTTGAAATCGTAACCCCTGTATATATGAAAGTAACTCTATTTGGAAACAAGAGTTTTTCTTTTATGTTGAGATCATACTAGAGTAGGGAGGGTTCTAAATTTAGTCCCTTCGGGATGTTGTTGTTGTTGTTGTTATTTGCCGTTGAGTCGGCCCCGACTCATAGCGACCCCTCCTTGGGTTTCTGAGGCAGTATCACTACGGAAGTAGGATTGCCCAACCTTCCTTCTGAGGAGTGACTGGTGGGTTTGAACCACCAGCTTTCTGGTTAGCAGTCAAGTGCCTTAGGCACTATGCTACCAGAGCTCTCTTACAAAAGAGAAAACAGACACAGGGGGGAGATATCATGTGTCAACTGAGGGAGATGCATCTACCAGCCCGGGAATGCCAAAGATTGCCCACAGCTACTAGAAACTGAAAAAGACAAAGAAGGTCCTTCCCCTAGAACTGGCAGCCTGAATTCAAACTTCTAGCCTTTTTAACTTTGAGACAATAACTTCCTGTTTTTAAAAGCCTTCCACTGGGTTTCGTTGTTGTTGTTATGACAGCATTAGGAAACCAAGACAAGGGAGGAAGCACAAGGAGAACAAAAGATGATGCCACACACTCACACCCTCGATGCCTGCTGAAGACTAGAATGTAACTACTTGCCTCTGCTGCCAGAAGCCCAGCAGCACCGGACCCCAGAACCAAAAAACCAAGCTCACTACCCTCGAGTCTGTTCTGACTCATAGCAACCTTATTAGACACAGGGACGAAGTAGAACTCCCCAAAGGGGAGGGTATCCAAGAACATGTATAGGGTTGGCAGACAATTGTCCTATAAGTTTATGTGAATGATCAGAATTCCCAGGTGTATAGTAGGGCTGACAAGGGGCAAGGTTGTAGTCACTGCTTGGTCACAGCCAGCTACCCAGAGGGACCGAGTAGTTGAACATACGGGCTTCGGACCATAGTCGCAGGGGACATCAAGCTCAATTGGCATAACATACTATATAAAACATTGTTCCACCTCCTACTTTGGCGAGTAGCAACTGGGATATTAAAAGCTAGCAAGCTGCCATCTAGATGCAATGATGGGTCTCTCCTCATCCAGAGCAAAGAAGAATGAAGAAAACCAAAATTCATGGAAACAATTAGTACTAGCAACTGGTACACCATCTGATCTGCAGCCTATATGACTATGAGATCAGAAGAACTAGATGGTACCCAGCTACCACTATCATCCACTTGGAAGGGGATCTATGTAGGAGATCCTGGACAGAGAGGGAGAACAATGTGGAACAAAACTCAAAATCATTTGGAGAAAAAAAAAAAAAGGTGAGGACCAGGTTTGCTGGTCCAATAGAGCCTGGTGGAACCACTGAGACTATGGACCCAAGCTGCCCTTCAGGTCTGGAATTGAACCCACACCTGTGGCTTCCAGCCAAACAAAAGACAGGCATATGAATTGAACATTCACCTCAAGTATATACACTCTTTGGAGAGAACAATCATGGGAGAAAGAAGGGCCGCTTATGCACAGGGAGACAGCTCAGGGGGCAGGAGTGTATGGAGAGATGAACACAGGGAAGAGGTAACTACGGGTAGGAAGTGGGAGGGGAGCTGTTGTATTGTGGTAAACTGTGGTCAATGACATGAGACAAAGTATATGTGAACTGCTGATGGAAAGTGAATTTGCTCATAAATCTTCACCCAAATCACAATAAAAAAAAAAAAAAAAAAAAAAAGAACTGCCCAAAGGGTTACCAAGGCCATAAATCTTTACAGAAGCAGACTGCCATGTCTTTCTCCCATGGAGCAGATGATGGGTTCGAACTGCCAATCTTTTGGTTAGCAGCCAAGTGCTTAACCACTGCACCATCAGCACCTAGTTCAATGGTCCTCAAATGGCAGTCTATGGACTGGAGCCAGGTGAGCTGCAAGCAGATCACCAGAGAAGCTATTCATAAAGACAAATGACTATCATCTCTGCAGATTTTCATCCAAAAAGTGTGGAGGAGAACCTGGACTATTGTTTTGGGTTGACATTTTTATTTTTAATATTTTGGGGTTTATTGTTGAGGTTTGCTTTGTTTTGTGTTTAAGCAGGTTGGACTAGCATATTGTCAGGTTTACATATAACCTATCTTATTCCATCATATCTGACATATAGGATCCAGAGGGAAAAAAAATATGTTGAAATGAGTCTTTTCTATTGTATTTAATTCTGAGAGAAAATCTAAACTATATTAAGCAAAACTAACACTCTGGTAGCATAGTGTCTAAGGCACTTGACTGCTAACCAGAAGGCTAGAGGTTCAAACCCACCAGCCACTCCTTGGAAGGAAAGTTGGGCAGTCTACTTCCATAGTGATATCACCTCGGAAACCCAAGGAGGGGCCACTAGGAGTCGGGCCCGACTCGACGGCACATAACAACAACAACATTAATTATGGAAGTATGAGATCACACCTTAATAGTTATATTCCTAAGTCTTTGTATAAATTTAATCTTTCCTTTCCTGAAATGAAAATCTCAGAAATCAGTGATCATTTAATATCATTAAATATTAATTTGAATAAAGAACTGAAGTTCTGATGTAGCTGTCTCTCAGTTTTCCATTCCATCTTGACTGATGGACTAAAGTAGCCAGTAACCCACACCTTCATTCCTCAGACACCAGGAAGGAAGGATATGAATAGCTTGTAAAGCCCACATATTGAAGCATTGGGTAAGTCTCCTGGTGTCTCCAGACCACAGCCAGGCTCAGAGAATGTCAATTGTTTCTCTCTATAACCTATAACCAGACTAGAAACAGAAAACGAGTCAAGGAATAAAAGGGTCACATCCTTGGAGACCCAAAAGAAAAGGATGTTCTGGGGCTTTAGAGAAAGCTGATGTGGCAGAGGGGCCTAGGTAGAGGACCTAGGATGCTGATGCAGTCAGCCCCTCCCCTGTAGCCACTGCCTCGCCTGGTCTGTGTCCACTGAGTGCAGGCCGGGCAGCCTCAGGTCCTCCCTGAGGCAGAGTAAGAATTGCATCACTCCCCACCCCAAACTCTAGCCATATTGGGGAGGTTCACCATGCCTTAACCAACCCTGAATACTCGGGGTCCAGCACAGCTCTCCCCCACCCCACCCCACACTGCCTCAAAATGCAAGACCCAGAACACTTCCTCAGTCTCTGTGTGGCTGCTGAGTCTAAGATCCCCGACCACTCCATCTTCCCCTTCAGGACTTGAGTCACACTCTAAACTCAGTATGTCTGTCCGAGGCACCCTGCCTCCGTCCCAATGGCATTGCCAACATGCTGTGTTCACTCATAGCCCCATCTGAGCAGATATCCCAGCATTTCCAGGCTCAAATATCCTCACTCCTAGCTGGAAATTCTTGCCTGGATTATGCCTTAGCTTTCTCCACATTTGGGACATTGTGGGGCTCCCTACATATCACATGACCCCAGTCAATAATCCAAGTCTGTCCTCAGCTCGCTATACCTAGTGCCATTGACTCAGACCCCTGACCCTCACTCTTCTCTCCCCTGTTGCTGGCCTGGCTGTCAGGTCTGGACTTTGTACCTTGTGCCTGGCTTATGGTTTATCCAGTTGATTCCGTTCACACCTTTGGAACTCTTTAGATACCCCCCTGTGCTCTCTCCCTGGCTTCTTTCCCAGACAAAAGCTTCAAGTCCATTATGCAGGGTCCTGTGAGAAGTCCTGGGATATGAAGCAACAAGCTCCAAAGAGTTCATTTTAAGTACTTCAATGTGGACTTGACTAACTCAGTTTCTTCAATTGACAAATACAGAAGATAAAGCCAAAGCTCTTAGGTTGTTGTGAAGATTAAATAAGAGTTTATTGTATACAAATATCTGACAACATGCTGTTATGTTTTAGATTCCCAAAACAGAATGTGGTAGGTATTAGTATAATGGCAGGGACAGAATAGGAAGTGAGAGATGAATGGGAAGTACCACTGAAGAGCCAGGTGAAAACCAGAGTGGAGAGGACCTTCAGTGCAGAGAGTTGGACTTTTGTTACAGAAAGAGTGAGAACCAAAGAAGGGAGTTAAGCAAACAAAACACCAAGATCCTTGTAATAAATTACAATCGATAGCCTATTCACAAAAGATGGGAATGAGCCAGGATACAAACATAAGAAAACAATAGCTTGCATTAATAGTAACCAGCACATATCATCAAGGAAATACCATTTTTCATCTACCAAGTTAGCAGAGACTAAGAAAAAGAATGCTCACATAGGTACACTCTCACCAACAGAGTGTGAGACAGAGAAAACACACTGCCTAGGAGACAGCCTCAGTAAGCAGGCTAGTATGATGTGACCTGGAACTGAACAATTAATGATGGAAGGACTAGAAATGAGGGACACACTGCAGAAATATAAACAAAGGCTTGTTAGGGCTTGATTAGGGGTTAGGTGTAAAGAACGAGCAATCTTGGATGACTTTCCCAACTCTGATTGATGTACAATCTCCTCTCTCTGTCTGTCTCTGTATCTCTCTCTCTCTCTCTCTCTCACATACACACACACACACACACACACACACACACACTGAAATAGGGACTCACCATTTGTGGTTTGGGCAACTTGGGGGCAGTGATATCATTTGTTACGTAGGGAACACAGAGGATAACTTTTTTAGTGTGAAAACATAACTACAGTGCAGAGCTTGATAGGTTTGAATTTCCAGTGGAACATCACGTGGGCATTTCCAACAAACTTTTGGATGCGTCTGGGGTGCAAAAAAGACGTTGAAATAATGTGCAAGGGAGAGATTTAAATGTAGAGATGGGTGGGTCATTAGGGTCAATAGGTGGTCTAAGCCGTGAGATAAATGACATCACTTGGAAATAATGAGGAGTACAGAAGAACAAAGAAGGATTCCAGAGAACTGCTCCCTAAAGGAACTCTCTACTCCCCAAAACAAGCCCCTTACTATTTCCCTAACATGTTGGTATCAAAGACGTACTCTGTTCACTCTGTTCCCCCAGCTGACAAGGCTCTGCAGGGATGTGCTCTCATCCTGGCCACCACTGAGACTCTGCTAATTGACGAAGTCAGAGGCTGGCAGGGGTGGAACCCCCAGGAACTCCCCCAGGGAGGAAAGGGATGAATTTAACTACATTCAGGGAACACAGACCTGACCTGGCCTGTCTTAACTTCTGCCTGTGTAAGTCCTGGTAAGTAAGAGAGTTTGTATTTGACCAGGCAAGGAGCTGGTCAAAGGCTATTACCCAGAAGACAATAAGGGCTGGTGGGATTTCCAAGGGCCATCCCAGTTAGTGCTATTCCTCTGGCCAAGTATTCCACCTCCTCCAGTGCATAGAGAAGAGAAAAGCTCACCCCTGTGTATCCACCTTCCCAGCTTCTAACCCTGAGTTTTAAGGTCTTTGAATTTGGAAATGTCTCCTGAACCATCTTCTAATCTGTCCCAGAGGTATATTATGGCAGACTGAGTCCCACTTTGTTCTTTTTTCTCTTCCATGGAGAGAAATGAAAACCCAGACTTCTCTTAAAAATCATGTGAGGTTCCCCTTAAACCAGCTGCTGTCAAGTCTATTCCAACTTAGGTGACCCCATGCGTTTCAGAGCAGAACTGTGCTCATAGGGTTTTTGATGGCTGTGACCTTTCTGAAGTAGATTGCCAGGCTTTTCTTCCAAGGCTTCTGTGGGTGGATTTGAAGTAACCATTCAGTTAGTAGCAGAGTGCAAAGCCGTTCCCACCAAAATGGATCTCAAATCAGCCTGTGACTCCCTCATCACCATTTCCCAGCCCCCTTTTAGTCTGTGTGTTCATACAGCTGCATTCTCGAAGCCCATCTGTTCAGAGTGCCTGGGGACCCGAGTTCCATCAGGAGAGAGTTTCTGTTAGCACTTAGGTGACACTGCTGATGCCTGAAAGACCCCTTTGGCGGAGAAACAAATCTGAAGCTAGATCTTCCCTTTCCTGGACAGATGGAAACTTGGTTTGTACAAGAGCAATAGCTACAAACTTAGGACTCAGAGGAAGACAGACCCTTGATATGTCTTCAAGCCCACTGTCCCCAAACTTCCTTCTTGTGCCTAGGTTCAGGGCCATGCCCAGAGTCCACTTCTTTCTCTTTCCAAAAGGAGGCATGGAGTAAGAGGGCCCCTCACATTGGTTAGGCATTTACTCTGCTTATATCACCTTTACACTTTTGAGCAATTTCATCCTCACTGTCATCCTGCAAGGCTAATATTGTTTTCCCATTTTACAGATGAGAATCAGAGTAAGTCTTTGCCCAGAGGCACACATGGGAATGATAGTAACAAAGTCTGTCTTGCTCCACTACCCCATGGCCCACCTGGAAACCCAAGGAGGGGTCGCTATTAGTCAGATCCAACTCTATGGCAATGAGTTTGGTTTTGTTTTTTCTTTTTGTTTTTTTACCAGCCTCAGTTCTATGCTGTCTCCTGTGAAGAAAGGAGATCCAAAAGTACACCCAGCACCCTGTCTTATCAAGATCACCATTTTCCAACCCAAACAGTTGACTCTAAAACCCACCTCTAAAAGTCTGCTGTTGTTGTCATGTGCTGTTGAGTCGGACCCGACTCATAGAGACCCCTTCTTGGGTTTCCGAGGGGGTATCACAATGGAAGTAGATTGCTCCATCTTCCTTCCGAGGAATGGCTGGTGGGTTTGAACTGCCAGCCTTCCGGTTAGCAGTCAAGTGCTTTAGGCACAACGCTACCAGAGCTCCTAAAGAGACGGCCCGGCTACCTGGTGGGGAGCAGGTGGTGGGTTTGAACCGCCAGCCTTGGGTGTGGCAGCTGACTGCCTGAGGCCCTGAGGCCATCCCCAGGATGGGCTCTGTGGCTTGAAGGAGCACCTCCAGAAGCAATGGGAAGAAAATACAGAGAGAATGATTAGGGTTTGACAAAGAGAACTTCCTAAGAGTGGGCTCCCTGCCCACACGCAGATGGGCCACTCTATGATAAGATGGGCTGCACCCAAGTAGATGGGTGCCCACAATAAGATGGACTCTCCAGTAACACTTGCCCTCCCAGTGTTGGGGAGGGGGAAGCAGATGCTGGGCATTCACTGATCACGGGCGGTTACAGGAATCCATATTCCTGCTGGAGGCCTGGGCTCTATCCCTCTAGGGGGTGGCCTCACCCTGATGTTCCAAGATTCTTGGAATAAGTGATTCTATTCAATTTTATTTTTTATAGGGTTGCTAAAAGTGGTAGATTATAACTTACTTTGAGCTCAACAAATCATTTGACAACATTGACTTATCCCAATAAAATCTACCTTGATTCCCACTCTACCAGGAACAATTACATCTTCATCACTGTATTCCAGTATCTTTTTGATCAAACCTATTCTATAGCACCTATTATATTTTGATTGTTATGTTGAAAAATCTGTAATTTAAAGGTGGGGGAAAAAAAGCTTTATTATTTTTTTTTCTGTTCATTCTTCATACAAATCTGCTCTATGGTGCTAGTTTTTTCCTGACCCTTGGACAAAATCTTGAGTAGTTTCCATAATTTTTTGGTGATTCTTAGATAAAAATAAAAAGGCCTTGGGTTACTTTTAATTTCAAAAACATATTCATTTTAGTAATGAAAATGAAGTTGAAAGTTCTCTCTTACTACTGACATCTTCTTGATAGAAGCCCGTGGTGGGAAACCTTGGCAAGGCTGGTTTCTTCTGTATTCCTTGGCATCCCACTCATCAGAGTAAGAACAAGGGAGGAAGGAGGGGAGAAGGGGTCGGGGCCTGAAACTCCCTCAGCAGTCTGTTGCCTGGGTCCTAGCACTATTTTCTCTGAGGCTGGCACCTTCTTGGATACCTTTCTCGGCTATCAACGTCCACTCAATTGCTGCCCCAGATCAGACTCTGAGTGGAAGCTCACTCCTCCCCACCATCTGCCAGATCATTCTCTTGGGCAGGGTTCCTTCAAGATGGCTCCAGCCTGGTTACTTTGTGTGGCACCCACGTGGCCAGGAGGGGTGGTACATGTCTGTGTTGTGCCTAAGGATGAAGTTGCTGCTGCTGCTTGTTCTGCTTCCTGTCATTGAGTGGCTCTAGCCTCAGCCTTTAACCTTTAGTCTTCCCAGGTGTGGATCAGAGTCCCCAGTATTTTCCCAAACTGCAGAGGATACAATTTAGCTTTACTGTTAGGTCTTCTTAAAGGCCCTCTCACTAACTTGGAGTCCCTGGGTGGTGCCAATGGTTAATGAGCTCAGATGTTAGCCAGAAGGTAGGAGGTTCAAGTCTACTTTTAGGACCTGAGAAGAGAGGACTGGTGATATGCTTCTGAAAAAACAAGAACCGAGAACCCTGTGAAATATTTTGCTGTAGATATTTTAAAAAAAAAAAAAAAAATAGAAAAAGAAAAAGAGAGAAAGAAGAAAAATCCTCTGGAGCACAGTCCTATCTGATATACAGGGTCAGGACCCACTTCACGGCAACTGTGCTCAGTGGCCTGAGTGGTGAGAAATCTCCCTTCTCTGCCCTCCACTCCAGGTGGGCAAGGAAAACCCAGTTCTCACCAAAGACAGTCTCTCCAACATCAAACCTTTTACACCCTCCAGCTGGGCGTCGGGTCAAGGGTCCAAGCAACAATTTCCAGCCACTTCTTTCTAAATCCCACATAACAAGTCTACCATTGTACCTCAGTTTGGGATAAGAAAAGGAGCCCTTGCTTGTGTTTTATTCATGGGCTTTGACTGCATCAGCTAAATGGGTAGTGAGAGCCCCAATACAACATCCTGTTATTCTTTGTATTTTCTCTCTTACTTGTCACATAATCTAACAGAATGTTTACTTATTCAAGGTTGAGACAATAATTTATTTCTTGTGTATTCCAAGCCACTAGCATAGGGCTTAGCAGAAAACATCCATATGGATTTATAAGTGAAAAAATAAATGATTTTTACAGAAAAAGAAAAGAAAAACAAACAAGTTGGGCCTATTTCTTGAAATGTCTTACAAAATGGTACAAAACAGCTCTTTGTTTTCTCTATAGAAATACTGGAAGTTTATGAAGGACAAAGCAACCCATGCAGCCTGGTGAGGCTGACACAGGCTGGGGGCAAGTTCTGACACACCTGCTCTTCTCAGCCCAGAGCCATCCTGCTTCCCTTTCCCCAGAACTATCCTCTTCCCGGAGGACATGTCAGGGTGGAGCATTGGAAGCTCCAACATATCCTACACCAGCTTCCTCCTAGTGGGCTTCCCGGGGCTGCAGAAGTCCCGCGCCCTCCTGGTGCTGCCCTTCCTCAGCCTCTACCTGGTGATCATCTCTGCCAACGCCCTGGTCATCCACACAGTGGCCGCCCAGCGGAGTCTGCATCAGCCCATGTACACACTCATCGCCCTCCTCCTGACTGTCAACATCTGTGCCGCCACCACGGTGGTACCTGCCATGCTGTTCAGCTTCTCCACCCACTTCAACCGCATCTCCCTGGCTCGCTGCCTGGTCCAGATGTTCTGCATCTACTTCCTCATTGTCTTTGACTGCAACATCCTCCTGGTCATGGCCCTAGACCGCTATGTGGCCATCTGCTA